TAAATCATTTGTGAGAATGGGAACATGTGGTTTACATGTAGTCCATGGTGCTGTAAAAGCTGGTTTTAAAGTAGTAGATTGGAATTTGTTACCACTGCTACGGAATTTGTACTACTTGCTAAAAGACTCACCCACTCGGCGTGCCGAATACATTGCTATAAGTGGAAGCAGATTATTTCCCAAAAAGTTTGGTTCAACAAAATGGTTGGAGAATGGAGAAGTTGTTGGAATATCTGTGAAGACATACACAGTACATAAACAACAGTACAAAGTTGAAACACAGTAAGGTGGCTACATTCTTGAGACAGGAAGTTGATGATCCCTTTAATAAAGTTAAACTTTTATTTTTTTGGTCAACATGTACACAGTGAGAGCTTTCTCACCCAATTTCAGAGCAACAAACCTCTTGCACCCTATCTTTATAAAGCAGTTGTTCAATTATTAATGAAACTGATGAGAAAGTTTGTGAAAAAATGACAAGGTCACCAACAAGCAGTTTCTAAAAATAGGTTTAAATGCTAATGAAAACTTGGTACATCTGAAGAATTTGGATATTGGTTTTGGAGCAAAAAAGGTTTTAAAAGAATTGAAAGTAAACGACAAAGATATTGTGTTTTCTAAGAGATTGTCGAAATGTAATGACACAAAAGATTATTGAGAAGGGACCAGTCAAGTACAAATATGTGAAGCCTTTGAGCGACTTAGACCCAGAAATTATTCAAATGTTGGAAAATTATATTACGATGTTTTACTGGAGGTTCTACATGATACAAACAGGATTGATGAGAAATGTGCTGTTAAAGCAAAAGAACAGTATGATATACTCTGCAATAAAGTGTCCATAAAACCCTATTCAGCAAAGTTTGAGGACTTCATATCTGAAAGGAATGATGATGGTCTGGACACATTTTATTTGAAATTATGAAGGATGATAGGCAACTGCAAGATCTATGGTCTATTCTCAAAATTTCTCTTTCTTTCCCACATAGGAATGCAAGTGTTGAGAGTGGTTTCTTGGTTAACAAATCACTGTTGAGTGAAAATCTTAAGGAAGAAAGTTTAGTTGTTCAATGCTTAGTTTATGATGGGATCCATTTTGCAGGTGGTATTGATCAAATAAATATAGACCAGAGAATGTTGACAGTCAAAGGATCTAAACAGTGATATATTGCATTTCTTCAACAGAAAAAACGTATTCAGAAGCAGCAGAAATTGATGGCTGAAGAAAAAAGAAAACTTACACAACAACTTAAGGATTTAAAACAGGGGTGTCCAACCTTTTTGTTTCTTTGGGCCACATTGGAAGAAGTCATGGAGTTTTGGGCCACAAGTATAATATATATACTTGTGGCCCAAGTATATTTTGGCCCAATCCTTAAATATACAAGTATATTTAAGAACTAACATGTCTAGATTATAGTAATAAGCATTAAAACTTTATTACGAATAAGGATATTTTAAAAAATTACTTCTACAGACACTTTCAATTTTTATTTAGAAATAAATAAATTCATTTATTATAAAGGAGATAAACAAAAATTTATTTGAAAAACACAAATATTTGTTTTATTTGGGTCTTTAATTAATAAAAAGTGACGAAATATCATTTTAAAGTGCATTTTTATTCAACTAATATATTTATAAATAATGTGTAACCCAAAAAGTAGCCAATGCGTCAAATGATATTTTTTACGCCAAACTAATAAAAAGGTAGCCAAATTTGACGCAAAGTAGCCAAATTTGCAAGGAGTACTAAATATAGCTGGAGTTGGGACTCAAAGGATTATAGACACAAAGCAAGAAAAGGAGAGAAAGGACACAAGATAAAAAAAGTGAGAAAAGTTGAAAAATTAAGGGTCAATATTTGCATAACAAAAGGTATATTTAACCTTTCTCATTTAATAAGAAAGAGTTTTATTCGTATATTTAACCTTTCTCATTATCATTTTATCTTTTGGCCTTTCTCTCCTTTCCCCGAATTTGAGTCTATACTCCTTTGAGTCACAACTTCAGATTTATTTAATATACCTTCCTCATTCACACATTTCCAAGTATTTGAAAATGTTTCCTTTCCACTCAAAATTAAAATATGTATAAAGGTTTACTGCTTTGTGAAACGTCTTTTTTGAATTTGTGCCGTTGAAATAAATAAATAAATAAAATAAAATAAAAAAATCTGTCGGTTTTGTTTACACGTTTATTGGGCCGCATTGGAACTTGCCTTGGGCCGCATGCGGCCCGCGGGCTGGACACCTCTGTTTTAGACTATTCGGGTAAAATTCAGAATCAAACAAAACAAAAGGATAGAATGTAACAAACACTTTCAAAAAGTGAATATCAGTTTATTTAAATTTAAAAAAATGAAAATAAAATATAATATATATACAAATAAAGATATAAATAACAAAATTAAATGAAAAATTCATAATAAATATTACATAAAAAATATAAAAATACATAAAAGTGACAATATAAAATAAACTAAATAAACAATCAAGTAAAAGGGAAAGGGGGATTATCACATGAATGAAGAGAGAGGAGTACATGTGGTAAAAGATTAAAAAGGGATAAATGTTTTGGGATATAAGCTATTCTATTCAGAGTTCTCAGAGTTGCATATAAAATAGTTTCCATAAACTGAAATTTATCTTTCGAAGCATGACTGAAGGAGCACAAGTATGATATTTGGAAGCCCTTGTAGTCTATGCTCTTTCTGATTCTGTTGACATGTGCTGGCAACAAGCCAAAACCATTAAAAGCATTAGAAATAATCATCATATATATGTTATGTGGAAGTCCTTTATATTTACAAATCTGTCTAGCAAGGTAGTTCTATCAACTATAAGACTTCAACATCCTGTTGACCACCTGAAAGACCTGATATGATTTACATATTGGATAACCTTGACACCCTTTTCTCTCTCCTTTCACAGGATATTCTCCCCATTTTTATTTGCATTGTTTATTTAGTTTATTTTATATTTTCACTTTTATGTATTTTTTTTATTTATTTAATTTTGTTATTTATTACTTCATTTATATTTGTATTTATCATATTTTATATTTATTCTTTTGTTTTAATTTCTTAAATTTAAATTAACCAGCATTTGCTGTTTCAAATTGTTTATGTTATTCTATTCTTTCATCATGTTTGATTCTGTATTTTACCTGAACATAGTCTTTAAAAAAAAAAGCCAAATACATTCAAACTGTTTTTGCTGCAAACAAAGATGTTTGTGTGAATTTTGAGCATCCACAGTTGCAGTTTACATTCACTGTTTTACATTTTTTTACCATGAATTTTGGAAATTAATATAAGTTTAACAATAAACTGAGATTTTAAAAAATTTGCTGTGTAAACAGTAAACAGTACATGCACAATTTTACATAGAGTAAGTAATTAAGATTTTAATTATTTAAATTAAATGGCAGCTAAATCTCAATAATTTATTACATTAGTTCAATTATAAAATAAATTAGCATTGCATATATTATGAAAACAAAACAAGCCGTTTATAAATATTTTCTACTTTCCTGGAAATTGGTCAAATTTTGACACTCCTTTTTTCATTTCTTGATGTTTACGCCAGATGCAATTGTATGCAGAGTAAATATCTATTCAACAGGAAATAAACATCTGCTGAATCAGAGGAAGACTGGGCGAAATGTACAAATTGATATGCTTTTATTTTTAGTTTTGTTTTACCAATAGTTTGAAAACATTAACAAAAATATTAGTTTAAATCTATTTAAAATATTTATTTCTTTTTAAATTGAAACAACCTTTAAACCCCAGGATAAAGGAAAACAAATCCTGAAAAAATTCTCTGTATTTGTGTATTTATGCATGCATATGCATCTATTTTGAATTATATTTTAGAACTGGATGAACAAAAAATTTTGAAATTTGGCATGATTATTTTTATTAATATACTGCATATGGGGCATAAATTTTGATGGTTAAAAGCAGGGAATGGGAAGACAGAGGATGTCATATCTTGCATGGAGTCTGACTCAATAAAAACTTCATTATTGGCATTTATAATTTTTTTTAAATGCATCCCTACTCTCAAAATTAAGCCTTATGCCTTTTTTTTCTTTATAATAAATAATAATATAAAAATTATTTTTTAATAAAATCACCACACACAATTTTATATTTGCTCTAATCTGTCTTAGTGTTTTTTAAACTTAATTATTTGTTTAAAAAGAAAAATTTCTCATAATTCAACAAGTTTATTCCTCTTAAGCATTTGTTCTTATTTAAATTTTATAACCATAATTGAAAATTATTAGACTTTCTTCTGAGTCCCCTTAACCTGCTGTTTGAGTGATGAAAAACTTGAACAAGAGCTCTTGCCTGCTTTTCTGTTTTGTTAATAATTAAAAAACAAAAAACCAGATCAAAAACATTTCATTATTATTTAATTTTAAATATAAATTTTAAAGTATTATCAAAAGAAAGTTTGGTTTTGTAAATGATATTTAAAATGCAGATAAGAAACATTAAAAATTGTATTTCTCATCCTATGAAACTTTAACAAAATTAAACATACCTTGCAATAATCTGTGGTTGCAATAAATTCATAAGAACCTAAACATAGTTCTGGTCTTTGATATTTATCAGTACGTTGACCCATATTATCCAAATATGCAAAATATTCTTGAGGTACTGTAAATGAATAACTTCTAAAATTATTTCAGTTCTTATATATAAATTCATCTTTTTAATTAATCATAATATTTATATATTATGATTATTCAACTGTTACACTGTTATTGGTTATCTGTACTAAATACTTCATCTTATGTAAAAATGTTTGTATAATAATAATAATAATAATAATTAAAATACATGTAATGCACTAGAATTTAAGGAAAATGACAGTAATACTGATAAAAGGTTTTATTATGATGCAATAAAATAAATATAAATAAAAAAAACTGCAATTTCTTTAATAATTCCAAACTACCAAAACATAACATTATTTATATTGTGTAAACAGAAAATATTACAACACTTAAATTTAACTGTAATTGTATCTTAACAGTTTTCAATTTATAAGAATTTTATCATCAATTGAAAACAGACTACTCTCATTTTCCATAAAGCTACATATAAACCATTCTTCATTCCACCATGTTCACATCATCCTCCAAAGTACAAATCAGCTGCCTTCAGGACCTTAGTCCACAGAGCATTCACCCACTGTTCTAACAATACCCTTAGACAAAGGGAGCTCCAATGCATTTTCCACATTGCCAAAGTGCTTGGATATCAACACATTTATAAAGTATTTTGAAGGTCTTAAGGCAGCAACAACCAACAAGGACACCAAGCTCTTTCAAGTTATCACATGACAAGCAATTAAGTGATATCTTCAAGGAGATCAGACAGCAATTTGACATTCAAATTGCATACAAGAGTCCTTTCATTACTTAGGAACAATAAAGACACTCCTGATGAAAAGACTGCCAGGAGTATACAAAATTCCTTTGTACAATCATAGGCTTGATTGACAATATGAATACAAAGGCACTACCTTTAGTTCTCTCAAAATAAGGCTCAAGGAACATTAGGATTCAATTACTAAAAGAACAGGAACATAATATTACAGTAAACTCCTGTACAACACACAACTAGTACATATGCAAAATTCAAATTTTGTCGTTCAGAGGTATACGTNAGGTTACGAACGCCCCAGCATACGAAATTTTCAGGATACGACATGAAATTCGAACATATTTTTGCTCCACGATACGAACAAAAACTCACTATACGACGTTACATTAGTTTGCATTTTTCATTTGTTTTTCTTACTACAGTTATTTTTTTTTAATGTATTACTTGGCTTTAATTTGAGTATGTTTTTCGCGTTGGAATGAATCATTTGGTTTTACATGTAATTGTATGGGAAAAGATGATCCACCCTACGACATTTTCATGATACGATCTCAGTTTCAGAACGGATTAATTTTGTATCCTCAGGTACCACTGTATAAACTAATTTGAAAATAGTGAGTATTCATAGCTAATTCCAATATATGTGACAGATGATAAAGGAAAAGAATTGATGTTAGATTATATAGTCAGTTGTAATAAATATAAATAGCTCTACTCATACTCTAGCTAACCAGTTACTCAAAATAAAATTCTGAGAAGTTTAGAAGCCATAGATACATTTAATTTTATAAACGTTTTGAAAATAAAAAAATCCCATCCTCAGATCAAGATCAAAAGTCAACAGAGAAAGAAATTAAATGAAATTTACATTATCTGATAATATTCCAGTGCCAATCTATCAATATTCATACTAATCTATGATATTACACAAGACATTTCTTTATTGTAATATTTTTTCATTTAATTTTAATTTTTTTACAATTCAATTTATTTATTTAAAGACAAACTTTAAAACAATAATATTGTAAACATCATAAAAATTTTTGCATTTTAAAATTTCATTGTTTATATTCTAATGTTATAAAGTTTTTTCTGTTCCATATAAAAATGAAGAAGCTCAAATTTGATTCTAGTTCAAAAACATTTACTTTATAATTAAACTATTTGTTACATACTAGTAACATTGGCATACATATTTCTATTATTATTCTTTCTTTAAGTGACCACACAGAAAGCTGGTGCATATCAAAATATTTTTTCTTTGTACTTAATTTTGATACAAAAGATATTTTANAGAAAAATAGTCTTTTATGTATGAAAAAAACTATATTACATACAAATAAAAACCCAGCGAAGCGGGTCCTTGCAGCTAGTAAATAAATAAAAGTGTACCTCTGAACAAAAAAATTCAAATTGTGCATATGTACAAGTTGCGCGTTGTACAGGAGTTTACAGTCGACCCCCCTATAACGTGGGTTCCTATAATGGAAATTCCTATAACGTAGCAAAAAAATTGTAGCAATATTCGTATAAAGAAACTCCTAAAACGTTGTCGCCGACTCGTGTCGCGACAAGATTGATAGAATCTGGACCAATAGTGGATGAGCAGCCGAACTACTTTCCTTCGGTCCTGCGCCATGCTACAGAGACTTTAGGCGGCTAAATTGAGTTGCTATCGTCTGTACAGTATTATATATAAATTAGGTACTGTACATATAATTATATATTAATTATATATAAATTAGGTACTGTATATATAATTATATATTAACTTAATTTATTGTAACTTTATTATAATTATATATATGCTTTCTGCCGCCTGGCAACACGCTACGGAGATTTTAGGCTAGTAAGTTGAGTTTATTATCGTCTGTACAGTATGTAAATTAGGTACCGTAAGTCTAATACAGCACTAATTTTATACATTTCTTGTGAAAGAAACATTTCTTATTCAACGGCCATAAAAATTATTTATATTAATGATGTCTCCAAAGGTCAAGTTATTTTTCTGCGAAAAATTCGTTATCAGAAATCACGGCCGCCGTTTCGTGCGCTGTTCCGCAACGAAAACAAGCTTGAGCAACGGCGTAGTCGAACGGTGCACACTCGGTAAGTAATCCTACAATTTTTTGTTTATAGCATAGTTTATACGGATTATTCCCAAAAAATTATACGTGTTTTGGAAATGTTGAGTGGAATTAGTCTAGAATCGCTTAATTTTATAGAAGAAAACCTTTCAAACAGCCTTAGTCCGTAAACTTCACACGTGTTGGGCTGCGAATGGCTCATGTATTTAATGATTCCTACAACGTAAAATTCGATTAACGTGGAACACGTCTAAGCATTATAGGGGGTCTACTGTACTGTACAGTGGGTGATTGGTTAATGAACGTAACACTTTTCCAAGACTTTGTTCACTATCTGAATTGTTCGTTAACCAATTATCAATTTACCATAGGGTTTTAGGGAATTTCATTAATTTGATCTGGAAACTCCAAAAAATAAAAAAATATATTCTTTCTTACTACATTTATTTATATGTAATAATAAAAATACATATATATAAACAGTCTTGCATTTTTATTAATAATGATTTTTCCATTTGTGGGGTTAAAAGAATCTGTCTAATGTCAATTGCTTTTCTCTCTTCTTCAGAATTTTTCAGAAGTAATTAATAGCATTGCAATTGTAGAGATCCCCAAGCCTATTTATTAATCTAAACCTGGTTTGGATGCCATTCTAAGACCGTTATTCTGACATCCTCTCATTTCTTCAAAGGATCTTTAATAGCAGATGTCAGCATTAATCCTTTTTTTCAGAAGAAAAAGATATCTTGCAGAGTTTCTTGATGTTTTTCATTCAAGAGTTCTTGGCATTCTTCTGTGTCAGATCTGTTTCAGGTTCCATTATGAGCTCTTCAATGTTCTTTATTTCTCTGATGTGATTTTTGTTACTCCTTTAGCTGCTTGAGTCTTCTTGATTATACTGCATCTTTCTTAGATAAAATTGAACTACGGCCTACTGTAGACCTGTTCAAGCCACACTGCCTAGCAACATCAGACATCTTCTGCCCACTCTCTACTTTTGCAATTATACTCTCACCTTTCAAAAATAAAAACCAATGCAAAACTTAATGAGTGTCCACCCAACAGTTTTGCGAAAACTATAAAAAAATTGTTTGTCAGAAAAATAAAAGGCTGGAATTATAAGGGTCAGTTTCAAAGTTCAAAGGAATACTATCCAATCAGTATATACCAGATTGAGCGTTGATGTCGACATCTCCCATGCTCCAAAAAGTTTTGAATTGTTGCCCAAAGACAAGGGAAGACCAGTCAGTATTCATTATTTTATGTCACTTTTTCTCATGTTTGTTCCATGAGGTGTTCATTGTCCAAACATAAAAATGTTTTGTAAAACTATTCATTATCTGATTTGTTCATAGTCTGAACTGTTCGTTAACCAATACTTAAATTTAACTGTAATTGTATCTTTTGTTCATTTTGATAGAGCTCACCTTCTACATCAAAACCATCATGTCTAAAATATCTTGAAATTATTGAGATATACAGTGCTATCTAGAGAGGAATGCTATCAATAGTAGGGACAAGGTTCTTATGTCGCATGCCTAGAGGGTAGTATTTGAATGCATTTAGCAACCATGTTGACTTTTATAAGCACTTTTGTTTTAGTACATTTATTGTTATTTTATTATTTTTTTGTTATCTATAGTTATTTAAATTTTTGTATATATTATTTTTCTTCTGTTTTCGTTTTAATTTATAACATATTACTACACTCCCTGTGCATGAAAAACTTCTTACGCAAGGAACATTTTTAAATATATCTTGTTTTTTCTGTTCTACCAGTTAAACCCTAGGATGGCCTTTATAAAAGTTGAAAATGTTTTGTTTTTTAATAAATGTTTTTGTTCTTTTAACTGGATTATGATTTTGAAGTGTTCTTATATAGTAAATGAAAACAAAAACTGATTAGTTAAAATAAATAACAAAACTACCTTCTGTATAACCATCACAAAAAGCACATTGAAATCGTCTTCCACCATCCATAAATTTCATATATGGACACATATAAGCTTTACATCGATTACATCTTGTGGGTCCAAAACCTCCCAAGTCAGAAATTGGAGGTGGAATCTATAAACAATATAATTTTATTTTAAAAATAAGAATCCAAAATATATTTTAATTTTATAGAAATATATCAGTTATTTAATTTGCTTTTATCAACATTTATTAATTAATGTAACAGAAAATTTCACTAACCTCTTGGTCATGTAGTCTTGAAAATGGTGTAATAATTATTGCAAAAGGTAAGTATGACTGTTTCAGCAGCTCATATTGACATGGTACATTATAAATTGTAGAACGAAGAAACTTTGGACTGCTATTACCTAAATTATGACAATTATAATTTCAATATTAAAACAACTTATTATATACTAAAATATATGCATTGTTATCAATTCAAATTTAAATGTTACATTCAGAATTATCAATATATCACTACTTTGGAAGAAAACTGGCACAACTCAAAATTACTAGTTTGAAAAAATCCCATGCAAAGATTTAACCAAAGTTTAACTGAAAATCACTTATCTCCACATAACTGCTCCCTGGTGGCCGAATACACAAGTTACTTTTGTGACATACTTTCACATAAAAATTTACTACATTTTTGTTTCGATTATGACAATAAAAAAAAAAAAAAAAAATCGCACATTTTTGAGTTATGCCGGTTTTCTTCCAATGTAGTGATATGTCAGATCATTAACTTTTTCTTTCTAAAATCATAAAAATATAAAAACAAAAGTAATTATGAATGAAAATACATTCAATTACAGGTGTTCACCTAGTTATGGACAGGTCAGGTTTCCAAGGTTTTGTTTTAAGTCAAAAACTAACCTAGAAAATACTGTACATCTGTACACAGAATAATCATATATTGTTAGTATTTGATCCTTTAATGTACTTAATAGAATACATTATGCTCATTTAATGGATAAAGACTGACTTCAACATCACTCCACAATCAGCAAGAGAACTTCAGAATTCATGCAAAATTTAAATTTTAAACATACGGTCAAATTGTTTGTAAGACTGACAGTTCATAAGTAGGAAAGCTCCTGTAATCAAATTGAGTAAATGTGTGTATTTTCATATATAAACATTTCTAAGGCCAATAATTATATGAAAGCTAAATAATTGCTGGATTAATAAGACAATAATTACACTTAGTATATAATATTAATTATATTCATTCAACAAACCTGTTAATAATTCTGTTAATAGTTAAATTTAAAATCTATTAAAAATGTTGAGACGATTTTTCTTTTAAATTCCTTTCCTTGGTTAAAGGATTATAAATAATAAATTCTTCCAAATGGAAGAATTTATTATTTATAATCCTTTATTTATAATCCAATGGAAGAAAATAAAGAAAATGACATTTTCTTTATTTTCTTCCATTGGATTATAAATACAGGATGAAAGAAAATGACATTTTCTTTATTTTCTTCCATTGTTGGTGGTAAAAATATTATATATTATATTATTCAAAAAACATGCACAAAATTTCAATGTGTTTTCAATTCATGACATGTTGGAGACTAAAATTAATTTGTATATTAGAATATAGAGGTCGTATGTTCAACTGATATTAGATATATTGTTATTTTCTTCAGAATTATCACAGTGACTGGAGATAAACAGAAAGACAGTTGCAAAAAGTAGTGTTTTCTGTAAGCTTCATCTAAGTTGTCAAAAACTCAATAATTATACATTCTGTGACTGCTGGTTTCAAACAGAGATGGTATTAAAAAAACCTGGGTAGACTAGAAAAAGATTGTGACAGTAGTAGAAAGCTGATTTGGATTGACTAGACGTACAATTGGACAATAAAGATGTAAAGCCTAAAGCATACTCTCAATACCAAAGTTAACCTCACATAAGTTTCTACTTGTTGACCAAAAGAAATGGAATATCAATCAAAACTATGAAAAGTATAGTGCTTGACATCAAATATATGATGAGAAGGCAAAAGCCTGCACTAGAAACAAACCCAGGTCAAAAATAGAACAGCAGGAGCAATTTCTGTCCAATCACTTCAAAAGATATCAGAGAGGCTTCTTTCACACTTGATTTAATCATGGACAACTACTACCTACATGGAGTATTAATAGTCTTTCCTACCTCTTAATTCTTTCTACAACTAACTTTATAAACAAGGAGAAATATGAAAGGACAAGAAAAGATTGCACAACAAGGCAAAATTTGGAGAAAAGTTTCTGGCCTGCCTGGTTTATACTTTAACCCAAAGGACCATCAAAGCTGTTTTGCAATGGAGTCAAAAGGAGCCATAAACTAAAACACTAACTGTATTTACTCAAATATAAGACACCATGGAGTCTAAGATGCACTTTAATTTCTACATGCTTATCCATAATTTTAAAAAAAATATATATATAACGTAAAAATTATAAATTTGTGTTGTCTATCACTGTCTTCTATGAAACCAAAGTTGGAAAACTCTTCACTTTCCATGTTAAGTTATTGAGAATCAATACTGTATTTCATACCCAGATCTTTCCACATGCAATCAACCTTAGAGCATTTAAAACATCAGAAATATAACATTTCTCAGAAAGAGTGTTGGACAACTTTTTCTGCAATTTTTATCTACATAGATATGATGTTACTGCAACAGATCAACAAGATAGTTAAGTTGACCTCTAAAAACATTTAATAATGGCAATATTAAATGAATAAAATCATTAAAATGATACAATAAAATTAGTGTCAGAGAAGTAAGACTATGTTGCTAATTATAATGTAATTCATCAAATCTAAGATGCACCCTATTTTCAGGAATACTAAAACCTGAAAAAAGGGCATCTTATATTTGAGTAAATATGGGTTATTAACTGAATGAATTGAGAAGAGCACACTATACAAACAATGAAGGATATGTTTTTGGGCCAGTCTGACCACTGCTCGTTATTGCATATGAGACTCATGCAAAACTGAGCAACTATTTTTGCCTAAAGAAAATAACCTGCCAACCAATTAAGCAGTTTTGGATAGAAGATCTAAGCCAATGAATGGATGGCATATAAAAATTAAGCCAGGAATTCATACACAAGCTGATAAAAACTTGGCTAATGTTCCAAACAGCAATTAGTCAAATTTCATGTTGGATATCACTCAAACCTCAAGTTTGTTCTAGAGTCCACCATAATGCTAAACAAGAGCTCCTATGGACCATTTAGTCTTGCAAATTTGTTACCAATATATTATGCAATTCACACAAGTAGTGTTATTTTTCATAAAGTTTTGAATAAATTATACTTCATATAAAGTATTTGGAAAGAAACATTATTTATAACTAATAATTACAGCTTGATGATGCAAAGATGTATAATGCATTTTGTTATTTTTATAAATTTGTAAATAATTGTTACAAATATGATCTAACATATACTGCCTACATACTTTCTTGACAGATAACAACTAACACATACACAGTACATAAAAAGTATAATACAGTAGAGCGTCGATTATCCGAAAGTCAATCATCCAAAAGAATTCCAGTCGGCAAATTTAAATTTTTGCCAGTGCTGTGGCACTGCAATCTTTGGCTATGTCTTGGGCTACTCAAATATTTTACGTTTTTGATACTAAATTAACTTCTGAAGTATAATTTTTTACTGTTTTTATATTTTTCAATATATTTATTTTGTTCGTACAAAATAAAAAAATAATTTTTAACGATACAATAGTCTTTGTTAGGCTTAACATGGACGAAAATTCAACGCGAAGCGACACGCAACGGAGAAAAATGTCAAGATAGGATAAATTAATATATTTTTTCGTACATAATCAGTTATCCGAAACATCGATCTTCCGAACAACCCCAGTCCCCAATTGATTCGAATAATCGATGCTCTACTGTAGTAAAAATACAACATGTGTATTATTGCTCTTTTTTTCTACTATATGATTTCATAACTATATACATATGAAATCATGCAACAGTTTCACTGACACATAAATTCAAATAATTGCATAAATTATATCACTGAAATACTGGAAATCACCCTCAGCATAAAAATAGCAAATTCTCAACACCTTATTTGCTGAGAAAAACTATTTTTACCAGAAAATAAAGTGTTGAGAATTTGCATAAATTATACATTTGAATCATAAGTATAAAAGATGATTATTACTATTATTTTTGATAAACAGAAAGTTCCAGACTAACCTAATTCTCTTTTTTGTTACAGACAAAAAAGAGAAAAACATTCCAGTAGCATTACAATACGCTCTGCTTATTGCAATCATAAATATTGTTATCAGTCATTTAATGTTATCAGAATTAGCATATTTCAAAACATGTAATTATAATAATTATTACTATAACTGAATTATAATAAAAACATTAATGAAGATTTATAAAATTATAATCACAGGTAGTCATCAGTTTATGCCGCAGTTCCGTTCCTACAAAAGCTGGCGCAAATCAAATTGGCGTAAAACGAACCCATATTTATACTGAGGTATAGGGTTAGGTTCCACATAAGTGAAAAATACGCAAATAATTTTGTTTATTAATACAATATAACACAAAGTACAAATAAATTTAATTTTTAAAATGTATTTTATCATAAAATAAAGTTAAATGTTTTTATTAAAAATTTTAGTTTCGGATCTATTACATTTTTTGGAAAAAGTATCCATCTTTAATTGTTTACATTTTTGTTTTCTTTCATTGAGAATTTCAGAATATGGTCAAATGGATGTGATGCACTTCACTCCCAATCATTGTCTAACTCACAAAGTTCAACCGTCAAACTTTCCATAGTTGAAAGGATACGTTAACCCGACGTAGAGCTACGGACAAGCGGAGACACTGGTTGGTCGACCACCGGTTGCCGTAGCACATATGTAAGGTCAGTTTGAGCGGGAAAATTAAGGAGAGATAGATATCGTCTGGCCAACAAGAAGTAGATTTGTCTCACTAACGATAGTTTGTGATCGCCGGAAGTGCTACCGTGTCTTAAGGTGTTTTCCTTAATGAACTGATGCGGGATAAATTCAACGGCGCTATGGATTCGGACGCCATTTATTGGACTATTAAGTTTGATAACTTGACTCGTGGGTACCTAAACATTTAGTATTTTAATATTAATTTAATGCAAATGTATACTTACCCAATAATATTAAACAGAAAAAATAAATATATTCAATAAAAATCTCTGTTTTAACAAATGTGCAATGTCGCGGCTCGGTAAATACGTCAACACTGAAACAAAAATCAGTCTGGCGTAGGGAAAAATCGGGGAATTATACAGCAAAATCGCGAATTGTGCAGTGGCGTTATTGTGAATCGGCATAAATTGAACCAGTGTAAACCGAGGGCTATCTGTATTATTAAGTTATACATTTTTTTTAATTGTTTTAAACATGTCTTTTAATGTCAGTTAATAAAACCTGAATTTTCACTAAATACAGTCTTATTAATTTTATTCAATATTATCAGTTTGTTACCAGAATAGGTGAGAACCAAAGCGATTACAATAAGAAGATTCTATTGCATTTATACAATACATTTAATAAACTGTATTACATCGTTGCTTCATTTATGTATTTTTAGTATACAGTGATCCCATAGCATTTCACAAATACAGATCTCATGTGTAGAATATATAAATTTAATATCAAAATCAAAACATTAACAAATTGAAAAGCAATAGCTAATAAAAACAAATCAAATAATCGATGAATGTAAAGAACAAAAATCTACACTACACTATCTGGAACCTGTAACCGGTGCTTAATGCATATATACTATATATCACTGTTGACAAATGTTTTCGAGTGATCTCGTTGCTCTTCTTCAAATCAACTGGAATTCTTTGGACGGAGTGTATTCTATTTGTTGGGATCGAGTGTCAATTCCAATGGGGTGGGTCTTTTCTGACATGCATGGTCGCTGGGGGGCAACAGTGTCAACAGTAATATATAGTATATACGCGTTACACACCCATTACAGGTTCCGGATAGTGTAGTGTATGTTTCACACCAATGCTGAGAGTGGAATAGTTTCTGAACAAAAATCTATATATTAATTTGATAAGCCTCAAATACTGTCCAGCTTTGTTTCAGAAAACAGCTGAAGCTACAAGCATGGTTCAGGTATCAAGTTAAAAGCTCTTACCCCATAGATGAGTCCATTGCAATCAGAAATGAAAAAGATGGCTGTGGTGGAGAAGCAAAAGTACAAAGTTAAATCTACAGGACAAACATGTCTGGCACTTGCACTTCATACAGAAACTTAGATTTTTTTTAACTGTTATAAAAACCATCACTCACCCCTATTCTGAATTCCGGCGTTTTTGCTAATTACACATTTTTTTTTTACTCTTTCCGCCCTGTGGGCACTAAGAGGACCTCTTAAAGCAGGCCTATTATGGGTTGGCCAGGCCCACAATGGGGCAACTGGGTGGTGAGGGACGGGGCATATCCAAACAGACCACCCCCAAAAAATTTCTGGGGATTCTTTGACCCGTCTGGATTCGATCCCAGGACCCCCAGAGCAGTGGGCTGCCACCTTGACCGCTTGGCCATCCGGCCATCAACTAATTACACATTAAAAAAATAATACAAACAGTATTTTAATTAATATTAATAAATTTAAACACACACTATCAACAATATTTAAATAATAAAATTAATATTCATTTTATTTTTGCATTAAACTAACTTGATGTTTAAAATCTAAGAAAGAAGTATCTATTAGTAACAAACTTGTGTACTTTTCAATACCAGAAAATGCAACACAATTTTTTAAATAAATAAGTTTGTCAATATTACAGTACTAATCTTTGTTTTTATTTTACTGTTATTTCAAGATGAGATCAAAATATGATTCTAACTGTCCAATTTGTTACTTATTGCAGATTGATGGATTTCTCAACAAACCTATCAACAAAAAGAAGAGTAAAAGCAGCCAAATTAAAAACAACATCAACACCAATAAGTTTTAAAATAACAAAATACTAAATCAAACAGGTGTAATATATGAAATAAAATGTACATGTAAGAAACCAGCGATATACATTGGCAAAACAGGAAGGCAACTCAGTACCAGAATAAAAGAACATAAAGCAGCAATTAGACTTAATTATAACCAATCACCATGGGCAAATAACTAAGGAATTTGGATGCACAATCAATGAAAAAAGTGTAAAATAATCCATAAATAAAAAGACAGTTATGTACGTAAATTCAAAGAGCACTTCAAAATTGTTAATAAAAGCAAAACCATAAACCTAAATGATGGAATGGAGGTTGACAACGTGTGGGAGGAAATGGGAGGAGCTGAAGGGAAAGAAAACAAAAAGAGGGGAAAACTGTCTAAAAAGGCCTTAAGGGACACAACAACAACACTGGGCATATGTAGGTCTAAACTTAAAACAGATTAGTTAACTACTGTATAAATATATCCAAATAACTATTATTGTAATTTACCATAATAACAAATGTAATAATTGAATTTACCAATCTATAGAAATGTAAAAAAACTGAAGAGGGGTGCAAGTTACATGAAAATATTGCACCCAAAATGCATAGTAAATAAGTAAATAAAGAATACAAAGATAAGCTTTTGTCTCTGATTAAATGCGGTCCAGGCAAAAAAACGGTGGTTATTTCTGTAGAATTAACCCATGAAGTTTCATCAATTTTTGAGGAAATATTTTTTTGAAAGATTGATTTTTAAAAGGAAGAAGAGTAAACTTGAACAAATTGACTGTTTCTAGGTCCAAGAGTTTTTATTTACCAACCCCAGGACAAAGTGATTACTACAAGGTGGACCACCACTATGATCACCATTAATCCCCAGCCTAGCCAATTGAAGTCAGTTGGCCTTAATAATGCTAAATTGACATCCCAGGATCTGGATGCAAAATTAAAAGAAACCACATGACACCAAAGGATGGATAGATGTGAATCATTCCCACGACGGACCCAGAAAGCAGTTGTTGTACTGATGATTTTTCTGTAAAATGCCAAATTTTAAGAGAGCTCATAGATTGTATTGTGTGAGACAAGCAGAGGGCCAGGGGTTAATCCCTCCTGACCATTTACACTGCACAGGCTGGTAAAACCTGATCTCTGAGTAGTCGGATAGCTAGGAGGGCAAATAGTGAGTGGGGGAGTGCGCTGGTAAGCCGACAAGCGTCCTTTCAGAGACTGGAGACAGGTTTAACAAATAAACAAAACGTTTATTGAATAACTAAGCTAAGTTAACATACAAGATAGTTACAAGATTACTCGATTAAATGCGGTTAAATGCAAGTTATACAAAGGCAGTTGTCAGCTATGTCTAATCCCGTTTCTAGGGAGAGAGAGAGAGAGTTCACAGAGTACTAACATACAATACCTCTAAGTGAGAATGGACAGTATACACCGAAGTATGATGGATGCCAATGGTATGGAAGAGTTTGCAGCCATTGAATGTCTTCTCCGACAGGATCCAATTCCTTTGCATGGAGGTCGACTGGCAAAAGGACAGAAATAACTTCCATGCATGGACGCGCGCTGACTTTCCGGGGCGCATGCTTTTATATCATTGTCGTGGGAAATCTAACACGTGATAACTTTAGTTGACGATGATGGTGCATTCTTGACAGCTATGTGTCAACTTTCCCACTGACTTGTTACTATCAATACAACCGGTGACCTCTGATCTAATTTCTACCTCTCTGTTTTTTCTAACGAAGATGTTTACATTTTGGGAACAATTGACCTTAATTTTTGATTTTTAAGAGCCCTGAAAAAATCCGCGGGCTCACAATTGTAACTAAATAAAACTTGATTTTGACAGGTTCCTGCTAATAACTTATGATATTCAATACATATGTTAGATAAAAAGAAAAATCCAGATAATTTCTGTTAAATGAGAACGTACAATAGTAAAGAACATAAAAATTACAAAATTTCATTTTCAAAACCGTTCAGTTATTACCTTCATCCCGAACAATAAAATCTGTTGTAACAAGAGGAGGAACTTGGCCTCTAACATTAGTATGAAATGGCGTATTTCGAAGCTTTCGATCTTCTTCCATTATGACAATCTAATAAATATCAAATTCATTTATTATTTACTAATAACTTTGTAATTTATATATTTAAATATGTTTTATGTTTTAAATCCATATTTATATTAATAAATATAGATTTAAAACAACATTTTAAGAGTCTAAATTATCAGAAATGCAAATCATTATGAATTTTGATTATTCTCATCATAATGAAAAAATATTTAATTTAATCCATTAATGACTTTTTAATACAAATAAATGCTTTGGCTAATTTCATAGATATCTTCAGATTTCTGAAGAACAAATTTTAAATAAATAAACATTTAAATTTAGGTGATTAAAATTTTTCAGTTAGAAAAGATATCTAGACAATTAACCAGAAGTATCTTTAATATAAAAGGTTACTGTATTTAAAAAAGATTAGAACATACTGGTATGGGTCCGTAATAAGTATATGAACTGTCTTGAGGTGTTTTTTACACCTCAAGACAGTTAAAGTTTCATATAATAAAGATATTAATGGATTAAAAAGTATTATTGAATTTGTTTAGTTTTCAATGAATAAATGGTTGTGATATACAACACAGAAACTGACATTATACTTTATTCGTTTATTTAATATTAATTAAAATAAGAGTTACAGTAAACTTTTATTTTCTTGTATAAATCTTTAATTGGAGATTAATGTTTAACTATTTTTAGTGCCATTATCAGATCACAATTTCAAAATCCTATAACCATGCAATTACAGGATTTGAATTTTTAACCTAATGGCAGCTACCAAAAATAGCTGTAAATGTTAGTTATTCTATAAAATATTTGGATTTTGGAAGATTAAAGATTTAGAGTCATTTTATACTCTATTTGGTTTAATGCATGTTTATCTATTATTAATTAAAATTAACATAAAAAAATAGGTTTTAGACATGCTTAACCACTCAGCAGTGAGGGACAGATATATCCGTTAAATTTTTTTGGGGGCATTGCCAAAAACTACCACGAAAAAAAATTCACCTAAAAAATGAATTATGTAATAATAAAAAAAGGACTTTTCTTTACTAGACAACTGTTTATCTCAATAAAACAGACGGGCTCTGTGACTGCGATTTGAAGGAGGAGGAAGATCCTGAGCACATAATCTTCTTCTGCCCACACTACTCTACGCAACGCAAGGAGTTAATTCATACCATCAAGGACAACGGCTTCCACTGGCCCTGTATGCTTAAGGACTTGATTTCTGACAAGAAAAACTTTTCAGCGATAAAAAGATTTGCTACAGGTATCAGGAAGCTCGACTAGTCCCACTCTGCAATCTATGATCACCCTCAACTGACCATCTAGAAGTTCATCGTCTCCTCTCTCTGTATGTGTCAACTGTGTAATCTAGAGTATATTGTTTTAATGGTTCATTCTGTAATAAATTGGATAAGCTGTTCTATATGTTCCACGATTTTATGTTTTACACCAAACAGCTTCATCTGTTTCCTCTGTTAATGTACTCCTGCTAACTGAAGTTAATTTGTTTAATAGCTTTGCTTGTAATCTGTTATACATGTTTACATTGTCGCGCCTTTTCATTTGTGTTGTACCCATCCGGCTCATTCTGTATTGTTTACTGTCCACACTGTATTAATTTTCTTTTAAATATAGGCGATGCAAGGCACCAATGGGTCCCATGACCCACCTTCCCTCACTTCCCACTATCCTATCACACTTACCCCCTCCTTCAGCCCCTCCTTACTCTCAACTTCTTCTACCCTATCTCCACTTCCTTCTTACCATGGGCTATACCTCCGAGTTCGGCCCTGTCTCTTTCCTAATGCTGTTTACAAAATCTTTTTCCAAAATGGTAATGAGAAAATACGTGCATAAAAATACTTTAAAAATTTTCCATGTTTATTCTCCACTACTTTGGGGTAGCACCATACCTGACTATCCCACTGCTGAAAGGTAAAAAATCAAAGAAATCACCTTCAAATGTAATTATCTGAATTCTTTTTAACAAAAAAAATCAGTTATAAAAATTTTTAAAACCGTTCTTACAACTTTACATTTATCCCTATCATTTTTTTAAACCTTTATACCATCTGATTTCATTATGTTTGCCATTGAAATTCAATAAACACTGCTTTAAGATAAAGTAATCACTCCAAATTTTTTTTTATTGTAAAACTAAAAGCAGCGGCTTATTGTTATTTTGCTCCATCATTTAAATATTAATACAGAGATATACATTTCTACAACACAGATTGCATAATATAAAACTTATGCTGTACAATATCAAATGCATTCCTACTATACTTTCTTATTTCTGAATGTATTAGAAATCAAAAGACAGTGTATTAAATAAATAGTTGCTAATATTTGCTATTATTGTATTTATTCAATAATGTTTAAATCTCATAGATAGATTTAAATTATCAATTTATAAAATTAAATACTTTAAAACAGGGGTGTCCAACCTTTTTGTTTCTTTGGGCCACATTGGAAGAAGTCATGGAGTTTTGGGCCACAAGTATAATATATATACTTGTGGCCCAAGTATATTTTGGCCCAGTCCTTAAATATACAAGTATATTTAAGAGCTAACATGTCTAGATTATAGTAATAAGCATTAAAACTTTATTACGAATAAGGATATTTTAAAAAATTACTTCTACAGACACTTTCAATTTTTATTTAGAAATAAATAAATTCATTTATTATAAAGAAGAAAAACAAAAACGTATTTGAAAAACACAAATATTTGTTTTATTTGGGTCTATAATTAATAAAAAGTGACAAAACACCATTTTAAAGTGCATTTTTATTCAACTAATATATTTATAAATAATGTGTAACCCAAAAAGTAGCCAATGCGTCAAATGATATTTTTTTACGCCAAACTGATAAAAGGGTAGCCAAATTTCGCGCAAAGTAGCCAAATCTTGCAACACTGGAAGGAGTACTAAATAAAGCTGGAGTTGGGACTCAAAAGATTATAGACCCAAAGCAAGAAAAGGAGAGAAAGGACCCAAGATAAAAAAGTGAGAAAAGTTGAAAAATTAAGGGTCAATATTTGCATAACAAAAGGTATATTTAACCTTTCTCATTTAATAAGAAAGAGCTTTATTCGTATATTTAACCTTTCTCATTATATTTTTTTCTTTTGGCCTTTCTCTCCTTTCCCCGAATTTGAGTCTATACTCCTTTGAGTCACAACTTCAGCTATATTTAATATACCTTCCTCATTCACACATTTCCATTAAAACCGGTCTATCATTTCATGAACTAAATTCTAAATTAACACATTTTTTTCACGCTATCAGAGTATTTCCTGAATTAAAACCTTTTTTACATCTAATGGGGAGAGTTTGTAATTCATCTGCTACTTATGACATCATGGAAAGGAAACATTTTCAAAAACTTTTTAAGTTTTTGAAAATGTTTCCTTTCCACTCAAAATTAAAATATGTATAAAGGTTTACTGCTTTGTAAAACGTCTTTTTTGAATGCTGTTGAAATAAATAAATAAATAAAATAAATAAATCTGTCGGTTTTGTTTACATGTTTATTGAGCCGCATTGGAACTTGCCTTGGGCTGCATGCGGCCCGCAGGTTGGACACCCCTGCTTTAAAACATACTTTAAGTTAACATTTTTCTTTGATCTTAGTTTTAATGTTTTTGAGATTTTTGAGTGTTAAAACATTTAAAACTAAGTTGGTTGTAACTCAATGCAAGATTGTCACTTACAGATTGAGAAATCCTCATATATTGGGTTGTTTGGAAAGTAATTTTATTTTTTTATTACTAGAGGAATTAGATGTCTTTTTACCAGCCAATTTCATTTTAAACCACATTTTCATTATATATTTTGACAGCTGACATTTAAAAGCTTATTTGTAAAAAATTGATTCTGTACAATTTTTTTTTCCAGATCAAATATGGAAAATCAACAGCATCATTTTTTTACATATTTTGCTCTTTTATTACCAAAAAATCAAAATGCTGTTCAAGCAAAAAAAATTTTTGGTATATGTATGGAGAGAAAGACAGTGCCAAAACTGGTTTACAAAATTTTGTTCTGGCAATTTCAATATTGAAGATGCACCACATTCTGGATGGCCAGTTGAAGCCAATAAAAACAAAATAAAGGTACCAATTGAAGCAAACTGCCGAATAACAACACGTGAAATCACTAATAGATTAAACTTGTTAAATTGAACCATTTATGATTACTTGAAACTAATTGATTTCATTTCAAAGCTCAATATATGGGTTCCACGTGTTCTTAAAGAGAGATGCTCTCTTTGCGGGGATTTTAAAGAAATTTTTTTTGAGCTTTTACCAGACAATTTAACAAATGATTCGAAAGTGTACTGTCATTGAGTAAACAAATTGAGTAATATCATCAAACAGAAAAGGCCAGAATTGATCATCAAAAAAGGTGTAGTGTTTTACCATGATAATGTCAAATTTTGCACAAGTTTGGTAACTCGTCAGAAACTGTTACAACTTAGATGGGATGTGCTATCATACTAACCATATTCACCAGATCAGGCACCCTCAGATTATTATTTGTTGCGGTCTTTACAAAATTTTTTAAACTGCAAGATGTTTACGTGAAATGAAAATGTCAAAAATTACTTGGATCCATTTTTTGAACGCAAACATCAAAAAACTTTTATAAACATGGAATGCTACGCAATTTGGTCAAATGGTATTTGACCAAAATGGTCAATATATAATTTAATAAAATATTTATTTATTATAAAAATATTGTGTTTTTTGCCACAGAAAAAAAAAAACGAAATTACTTTCCAAACAACCCAATAATTCATATTTTTTATATTTAAAATTACAAAGCAGTACTAAAAATTATTATTTATAAAATAAAATTCAACTTACAGGATCAGGAACCAAATTGGCATTTAACATTCCCTGAGAAGTCTGGAAGCCAGGTGGATTTTGAAAAGGTTGTGAATTAGTTGGATGTGGCTGTCTTTGAGGCATTCCAGGAAAAGAAGTTTGTTGAGCCATGTAGGGAGGTACAGTATTAGAAGTACTTTTTGATATATTTTTCAAATTAAACTGTTCCAAATTTGAGGGATATGTACTACCATTGACATTTCCCATAGGAGATTGATAAACATTAGATGATGAATTAAATGAAGTTGTATTTTGAAGTGGAGGAAAAGCATTAGAAGAATTAATTGGAGGGAACTGATTCATTGCTGGAGGATTAAAAGATGGAAATGGAGCAAATGGTGTTGGCTGCATCGAGCATTGATTTAATTTAGGAAATGCATTCTGATTTGGCTGAATATATTCTGACTGTTTCTGATTAGTATTTGATAATGATTGAACTGAATTAGGAATTTCACTAGGTGGAGAAACTAAATTCATATTTGAATTTTTACTGTACACAGGATTTGTACATGTTTGACTTCTATAATCTGTAAATTGACTGTTTTGTCCAGGAGCATTCAAATCAGATTTCTGAAAATTTATACTAGGTTTATTAACAGGTTGATTAAAATTTATATTATTAGTAACTGGTTGATTATATCTGTTAGGTACACTATTAATTGTGTTTGGAAATCTTGGCATATTCATTTCCATCTGAGGTTTAGTTGAGGCAATACTCATATCTTCAAATCTTTTCATTACCTGAAAATAATTTTAAAAAATAAGAAATTGAAATGACCCAAATCAATTTTAAATTATAAATTAAAGAAAGTTTCTTACTTGATTTGGGGAAGACACATTTTCAGGAAAAGAATGAACATTTCTGTCAGGATAATTTTGTCCATTCATTGCTGTTTAAAAAACAAAATATTTTACTTTTGTCTATATTACAACTAATTACAAGTTTAAATTTTTAGTTACATTTTAAATGCTTCTTATATTTTATTATATTAAATCAGTATCTACCTATATATAATATATATATCATTGATAATATAAATTTAATATCTTGAAAATTTTTTCATCATATCATATACCATATTTACTCGCATATAGGACGAGGTGTGACTTTAAAGATCAAAATAAAGAAAATTAGATTTATTAATACAATTCTAATTTTATTTCATTTAATCACAAGTAAAATATCAAATGAACGTCAATGCACACATTATCCCACAAAAATTACTGGCGTTTTAAACTTTAAAGAAAATTTTGTAAAATCGACAACATAATTTGTTTGTGTAAAGTTGGACAATCGGAAACCTTTCTTTGCCAATTCTTAACAGTCGAATCCACTCTCCGTCGATTATACTTACGAGTTTCTCTGAATTCCGATTTCCAAATAATCATGTTTTCACTTGTGAAAGGATTAAAACTTATATCATGCTCCCGTGCGATTTTAGAATTTCAATCTGGAATTCAATTCAAAAGCTTTGCTTTTCCTATTGCTATTCATCTTTATTCCTGACAATATACAAAAACAATTCAAACGACCCAGATAAAATACTCGTGTTTATAAATAAAAGAGGGTAAAAAATGTGAATACATAATTCATAAAAATTATTTGCAAAAACAAATAATTTTTCGTAAGAATCTTTTGCTTGCGCATATAGGACAACCTAGGAATTTGAAGCTGTGATAAATTAATAAAACCCTCATCTTGTATGCGAGTATATAGGGTATATTTATTTTATAATAAGTAACAGAAAATTGCTTGGAGGTACAGTTCACATTTCACAGCATTACCAATTAATATCAAATTTAAACATTGCTTACAATTTAGTATTTTTGAAGTTTTCATCCATTCTCAAAGACTAGTTCAAATGTTAAACAGTTCTGTTCAATATCGTAATCTTTGAAAATATATAATCAAACTATAATTGATTTCTAATACGTTTCTAAAGTGCTTAGTGGCATGCCATGTTTGGAAGCGGAGGAAGTGCCGCTTCCCTTGTATTTTCTAAAATATAAATACATATTGTGCGATTATTTTCATATTTTGACATACGTACTTTGAATTAATTAAAATTAATATTCTATTATAACCATATTATGTATCTTATTACAAATTTCTATACTACATGTGAAAAAAAACGATAAGANCCGCTTCCCTTGTATTTTCTAAAATATAAATACATATTGTGCGATTATTTTCATATTTTGACATACGTACTTTGAATTAATTAAAATTAATATTCTATTATAACCATATTATGTATCTTATTACAAATTTCTATACTACACGTGAAAAAAAACGATAAGATTGCTATTGTATATTTGAATATCAGTGGCTGCATGGAAGCGCTGTATTGTCGAATAGGAGACAGCTTCCACAGCGAAAACATCTGAATGGTTTAAAGCAGCCAGATTATACACATTTGCACATGTGCTTTACAGAGCACCAACCTCATGTGGTTTAGCTGGTGGATGCTACACACCATAACGTTTTCAATGATTCTATCCAAGGCTGTTAGCCATTGCCTGTTAGATATATAGCCACCCTCGCCCCATCATGTGAATCATGAGTAGATTTATAACTTAACCCAACTGACAGGAGGTTACTGGTATGTTTTTATGATAGTTCTGTGAGGTTGACAGGAGTTTAAAAAAAATCCATTAAAATATTTGATATATTTATTCTGCTTTAATTCTGCTCTACCATCTTGTATTACTTACAGATTTCAATGTTAAACTAGTGATATTACCATTTAGTATGTCCCATCTATAAGGGGATGCAGAAAGAAACATGTACAATCCTTATACAATGTTAAAAAATTAACTGTTACTTTGGCAGTATCATTTACAACTAAATGTAATGAATGGAATGCATGAGGTACAAGGCACAAATTCTGAGAAATGGTGGAGACGCCCGGACAGGGGTCAAACAAATTAAGACCTGCCTGGCCACGTGTGCGTAGTAGTCTTCTGTCCCCGCCTCTTTAGTCTTTGGTCAGAGTGGATACAGAACAAAGCACGTGGTAGTCTAGCTTGCCTTATCTCAAACATGATTTGTTGCGGGCCTCAGAATTTTCGGCACAATGAGACATTGTTTTGCAGAGTGAACAGTATGGCGCCGGGCATTAAACGCAAGGTCAATCGCGAGAATCATCAGTTTCAAGAAGTGGAAGTGTGGACTAACAAGTACTGTTTTGTGCAACAGAACAACAGCATTATTTGCCTTTTGTGCAATGGAACAATAGCAGTGCCAAAAGAATTCAACCTGAAGCGACATCATGAAAGCCAACACAAGGATTTCCTTCTGCAAGGTAC